CATAGTCATGAAACCGTTCTTGTGCTCAAGTATGGATTCTGTGCTCAAGCATGGATTCTGTGCTCAAACCTTCGTTTCTATAACTGACTCAGAATCATGTGACACATCAGAAATTCAAGTTTAAATATAGAAAACAGTATTCGGCTCAAAGTTCAACCAAAGTTTTTCAAGATTATTAACATAATGTGAATATTTATTAATTTATCACCAGAATAACGAATGGGATTGACCACAACATCTGAGTTTGAGTACGGGAACAGTTTGATGATAGTGGACCCTGACCACCGAAATATTGCTCATAAGCTTTTAAATATTTCTTTTAAAAATTCACAAATGATATAAGGTCTGTTTGTATAGATCCGACAATTTTGTTTCAAAACAAAGGTGGAAAATTTAGTTTTCTGGTTAAGGAAATCTTAAAGAAAGAGTTAGTCTGGTGGGGTGACCCAGACATTAACCAACCAGGTATTCTATGCCTAATAATTAAGAAAATATGTAAAATGTAAGCCAAACAAGTAAAGTTGTGAAAAAGCTGGATAACGGGAGAATTTTGAAAAGCAATAGAGAAATCTCCCTATAACCACTGGCTTGGTAGAGTGATAACACAGATTAACACGACTAGAACGGACTGCATGTCATCGGTGATGTCTGGAATTAAAGGGGCATAACTCTACGTCATTATATATGTTATATATAAAAGATACATTGAAACAAAATATGTGAAAAGTGTTAAGGAAATGTTGAATCATCTGATATGAATGCTTTAGGCCATAGGGGACTTGCTTTTAAAAGGTTGGATTTACTCAAAGCTGTTTGCAATTATATAAATACAAAATGGCACTTTATCTGTGAACTTTCACCTCTATTTGCAGTAAATCAACCAAACCAAGACCCACATGATATATAACCTGACACAAGCAATGTTTTAAATTAAAAAGAAATGTGTTAAAAATTATGATATTGAAATATTTTCTTTCACACTTAGTGACATGCAAATAACTTTGCCTTGTCTGACCTTTAACCTTGAACTTTGAAGACAAATTATTTGGACTCATTATTTATGATATTTTCCAATTATTTTTTCCTGGAATTTTGTTTAATTTTTAGTTGAAATCCCTTCTTAACCATTCTGTATCACAAACGGTTTGCCCTGTTACACAAAGTTAATGACAGGCAAGCCATGTGTGGCTAGAAAACACATGTGATGAATTCACAGTTGATTGAAAAACTAATGTGATGAAGATGCAGAGCTTGTAAGACGTTGCTATAGCGATTAATTTAGGACTTGAGTAACCACTATGATGACAAGTGACTTGTATTTTGGAAACTGAAATGTACTTGATGAGAAAAAGATGTGATGAATTATGATAACTGATCATGGTCTCCAGGAGGACATACTGGTCTCCATGGTGATGTGGAACTGGTATTTTGGAAATAAAAAATACAACAGTATAACCATAATGATAGAGATAGACAGATAGTGATGGATTTGATGATGTTGGATGTCGGGACTTAATAACATCATCATCTTAATGGTGAGTGGGAGTGGAATTTTTGGAATTGAAATAGTTGTGTATGTTGAGTAAGGGCTATGTTGAGTGAGGAAGAAGATCTCTGATCTAAGGTATAATGGGGATGTGTTACCCCGAAAAGCAGTGGAGCAGTGATTGGGCTTTACTTGACACACCAGCTGTACCACCAGTGTAAACAAAAGCTGTGATGATGCGTACAGATGTTTAACAGGATGTGTGTCGGGGATGTCAGCTCTCCAGACCATTGTATACCTCTAGTTACATCTTCACACAACAAGCAAAACAACCCAAATCATAGACTGGCTACCAGACCCGAAGATTTTATCAAGAATTTCCCCGGTGCATTTTACTCCTAGCTTATCTCCCCCTAGTTGAGAACTTAGGGTCTCCAGAAGATATTCAAGTGATCAAAATTATTAGAGTTATTTTTTTTCCTAATAATTCAATTTTCTAGAGGCAGGGGCCAGTCTACAGAAATCTTTGTTTTCATGCTTCTACGATTTCTTGTGAGGCTCTGGACAATAACTGAAATTGTTTTGAAATCTTCTTAAATCCTATTTTTCTATACAGGTGAAGCTTTCTCCAGCAACCTTCAGAACCACACGGGCATCTTTTAAAATCTTTGTCATTTCTGATTTCTCAAGAGAGCCTTTATCCAGCAACACTCTGAACAAATAACTTAAAATATTTCTGAATCTTTGATGTCATATTTGTGCAATTTATCTTGAGGAACTTTCTCAAGCAACCTACGACTTTTTAAAAATCTTTGTGTAGTCATACTTTTCGGGTCCAAAATGAAGAGATTTTCTCCAGTCACAGTCTATTGGGAAAGCCATTTCTAATTCCAATGTTGAGTTCAGCCACTCCCAGAATTCATTGCATGTGTATATAACTTGCATGCAAAGCCAATAAAAGTGACGGCCTGTTGTCCAGTTTATCTGCGTCTGGTCAGTGTCGGAGCCCAGTAAGTGACATCACAGTAATGAATTAGCTGACTGTTTTGCCCTCAGCCAACACCAGTAGGCCGTGATGCTTACTAAACATGCCATCACTCTGTTCAAATGGCGGAATTTCTCATCATTCTGACAGAATTGTGTGAAAACACAAAAGGAATGATTAGTTTTATTTCACTGTTGCAGACCATTCACACACCTATATGTGTGGGGATCGTTAATTACGCCCCATCAGCAACTGTACAGATGGTCTGGTAGCCATATTGCCTGTTCTGCCCAATTGCTGTACAGGATGATATAGACATGCTGACAGATCTAGTACTGTTTGTATATAACATGGCTGAGGGATAGAATTGAACAAAATGTCAATGATTGTCAAGAAGTGTTTGTAGATAATGTAGAAAAAAAGTACAGTCAGGATTAAAGAAGCAACCAACAAGAAAATTTAAGATTGTAAGGGTTAATTACTCAAAGATTGTAGACAGGATAGTTATATAATATTCACCTACATTAACATACTCCCCCCAAAAATTTCATAATGAACTATTCCAACTTTTGAATTGGAAGAGTTTAAATGTGTCTTCATGACCAGGGGTGAATGAGCTGGCCATGCAGACCTATTAATACATGGAAATTTCATGGAAAATGACTGTCAAATAGACTAATTTTGAGCTGTCGCCTTTTCCTGTCTCCATGACAACATATACATTTCCAATTATTTCTAAGGAAATACACCAAACCATAATTGAGGGTTCCATGGACAGGTAGAAAGTTTTGAAGTTTCTATCGAAGACTCAAAATATCTGAAGACACGAAAAACAAAATATATAAGAATTTTCAGTACAGAGTTGTTCAAGAATTGAGTAAACTAATACAGGCTTTGAAAAACTGGACATAGGAAAGACATGTTTTACCTGTTACCTCCAAGTTCTTAATATCACTGGTCTTCAGGTAACTTATCACAGGAAACTATTTCTCTAAGACCTCATCCATTCCTTAGATGTATCTGACATATATTAAATTTATCAGAATTAGCATGAAAACCATTTTGTGAATAATAAGATCATTAGATATAGGTTGATAGGTCTGTATTCATTGCAATGAATATAAAATGAGGTTAAAATCTCTGTAAATAAATAGTAAAATAAAACGAATGAAAGAAAGAAAATATTTCAGCTATTAATGTTTGTCAATACATTAAAAAAGTATTTAAAGTATAGTATTAATTAGATTGGCTGAAATAGATATAAAATTTATTACCATAGCAACAGATGTTACGATAGCCAGCTTATAGGATATTCCACAAGGTCAAAGGTTGTAAATAGATATCGTATTATCTCCCTTGATTTATTGTAAAAATGCTTTAAAGATGATAAAATCACGGAGGCTTAGTTTAATGTTCTCAAATGTCAAAAGTCATTAAAGGTTGTAAAACCCTGTACGGCTCAGTTGTCTCCCTTGATCATAAAAGTACAGGTCTGGTGGTTACTGTAACAATCTCCATGCGTGATCGACTGTCCGCAGCACGGAGAAATAAAAAAACGTTTATTGATAAGCCTCTCTTCCGACAAGAGATTTCCCTTTAGATGTCATTTGAGTGAGTAAGCAAAACAGCTCTTGGAACAAAAATCAAATAGAATCATTGTACACTTAATGTCCGTTTTATTTACGGAGCTATTTTTATAAAACTTTTTTTGATAATTTGGAAATTGGAGAATTGAGAAGGTCAGATATTACAATGTTTATGGTAACCTTTTTATCATTGAGGTTTAATTCTATATCTGATGGGCAGCTCTGCACTTTGAAGTTTGTCTCCTGTGTAATCTCGTTGGCTAAACACATCCTTTCTTGTTTATGGAGCTAGACTGGAAAAATATAGACATTTGTTTATCTAATTTATTTCTTAGACTTGTGCTGATCATGGGAATTTATTTGTCTAAGTTTTGAATAAAACAGACTTTCCAGAATTCATTTTCTAGTTTTAGCCGTTGTTTTCACAGTATTATACTCGAAGGTCTAATAATGTTTACTTTTGTGGTTTGAAAATTTTGGTGAAAATCATTTTTTTTCACCAAATTGTTGAATTTGATAACTTAGAACGATAAACAAAACAAATTGTATTTCAGAATTCATACATGTATGTTGATGAAGAGAGAAAGTAAGAATTTCAGTTATCCCAAGGCCTTTGACCCTTCCGTGGTTCTTTCGGTGTGAAAGTTCTACAGGCAATTGAAACCTATTGTTTTCACTTTTTTTAGGTCACCTGAGCTTTGCCTAAGTGATTCATTCGGATTGTTTTTTGTCTGTTGTCATGTGCTGTGGGTCTTCCGTAAAGTTTTATCCTTATTGCTACAGGTTGCATGTCATATTTACCGAATTTGTATTCACATGTATAACACAACGGATAACTAAAACTCGTGTGGATAAGTGTATGAATTCAGTCACAGCAATGTGCGTGGCAAGCTTTCTATTTGTGAGGTTTTTCTAATCACTCTAAATTTTTGTGTACTTTCAGGTAACTGAGGCTAACTGGATTTACTGAACAGATATATCCCCTGGAGTTTAAGTGAAATTTTACAAACATGATGGAATCTTACGGAGGCTGGCAAAAGATGTTGGTCCAGAGCTGGTTGTACCTGTCTCTCTCACTCCTCATCATTACTAGAGGTTAGTCAACATTATTTCTCTCATTTCCGTATGTGTAAGATAGAGTTGTCCAGGGTAAGAAAGGGGTGTAGGAAATGTCTATCTTACACCCCATTTCAAGTGACGCGACGTCGCAATTGCTCAACAATGACGTGATATCATGAATTTGGAAAACACTGATGCCGCAATGCGGAAAATACAACATGATGAAATTAAAACCTTTTGCGACATATTTACCATACATGTTAGAAAGATGAGATTATATTTTCTGTGCAAACTTTGTTTGCAAATATGGGATATACTAAATCTCACAGACAAGTTCGTTTTCGAGAAAAAAGCTAAGGGGAAACATTGATATTTTCAAAATGGAAGCCAGCCCAAATGCAGTTTCATGGTTTCTGAGCTGATTCTTGTGGTCGGAATGAGAAAAATACTCTTTCATACCCAGGGTGTAGGATAGGAAAATTCTACCCTCTGAATTTTCAAATTTGGCAAAACCCTTGGCAAAGCCTTGGGTTTTATCAAATTGTAAAACCTCTCGGGTGAAATTTCTCTATCCTACACCCCTGGACATGAAAGAGTCTTATAATTTTTATTTTTAGCTATCACTGACTGCACTGTCACATTTAAACATGCTCAGCCATGAGGACAGAGGTTTAACAGCATCTAAGCCAAGGTGTGCTGGTTGATATAAGAAGCAAATTGTGTAAAACTTTATACAAGGTCTTAAATATTTTGTTTAAAAAATCTCTGGGCTTTGTTTCATTGGGTGAAAGAATCGATTGTCCACGTCAAAGTGACTATTGGTTTGTTGTATTAGAAATGGAGGTTAAATGATTATTATTGTTTTATCAACCTCGAGTCAACTGACTCATGGGTATAATACATATATTACAAGATAAGTACAACATGTTATGCAATACAATACAGAATAACATATGGACATATGTTAAGAGGAGAGTGACTCTTTACGTACACTTGTTGCCAAATGTAAATATTTTCCAAGATTAAAAAGTTCCCTTACATTATTGGTACTTAATAGTTGAGTTGGCTTAAACACACTCGGACTTAAACGATAATATTTCTTTATGTACTTTAACCTTAGATTTTCATAAAATGGACATTTGAGAATAAAATGAAACTCATCTTCAATGTCGCCTAAATTACATCTAGTGAATGAAGACACATATCTTTGAGGAGGTTACACTGTTCACAAGGTAAAATGTTAAACTTATAATCTATTGTGAATGTGATAACCTTCCTTTCATTTGAACTAAGTCTTGTGAAGTTGATGAAAGATTGAGATATTATTTGGAATGAAAAATGGTAATCAGGGCACGTTATGATAAGGAAAGCTGACACAAAATTATTCTCTGAGACAACATCAGGATAAATCTCCTTGTAAAACTGAGCTGTAAATCTCGGGATTTAACTCCTTTCATTTCCTGTTTGAGGATGAGGCGGAGAAACGTCAGTATTAAGTCTTACAGATGGAAATCTGTGAAGGAGCTAGCCGGGTTCAGTTAGTAGACTGCTTCTTCACCAAGCTTATAAATGAAGCTGAAGGTGACCTAATCACACAAACACTTGCCACACAGGTGCAACTGTATACATGACATACAACTCTTGCTAACCTGAACTCTGCTGATTAAGGCCATAAAAGAGTCCTAGGAATCTGATTTTTCCATTAAAAGTGAGTAAGAGGGTGCCATGTGATACCTGCAGTTAGGTCTGTAATAACATACTTGTGTAGCTGTTTGATAGATACAGGTGTGATCGGGGTACAGCTGGGAGGGGGGTATCATGCAGCTTATGACAGGCAGAAAGGGACTTGGAAAGTTAACATTAGGGGTAAGGGGAGGATGTAGAGTGGGTGTGGGGCTATGGTTATTTGTGTTGAAGGGTAGAGCATGAAAGAATGTTTGGTGTTGAAGAGTAAAAGGGATTATTACCAGTATTATGGGGTTTTTTTTGTGTGTGTGTATGGGGGTAGGGGTAGAGGGTGGGGGGAGTCAGAAAGGATTGGACCTTCATTGCAGAAAGTAAAGGCCACACAAATCTTTATTTAAATGTAGGACAAGAAGGGGATTTGTTGATATTCAGAAAAGGAGTTAGATAAAACAACATACCTGTGAACATATTGTTGATAGACACAAAATATGGCCATAACTCAATACAAAAATCACACGTTTAATATGTTAATAAGTATTAGGTAGCATAGAGCCTTAAGTTAGATATCTTTTACCAGAGGGTACAGATGGACCTGTGGATATAAGGGACATTAAGGGTGATTTGACCAGAGTAAGGTAGGAACTTTATAATCCATTTACCCCTTTACTCACATTTGAACCTGACCAAATCATAGACTGGGCAAGTCCAGTTTAGATACTTAGGGGTGAATTAATTCATGATGCAACAGCAGGTCCTTTCTGAACAAGTTTGGGGTCTGTAAGGGGGTTTGAGTGGTGGTGTTGGGGGGTTGGG